ACACACAGAAACAGAGACAGAGGCATACATACACACAGAAACAGAGACAGAGGCATACATGCACACAGAAACGGAGCCAGAGGGATTCATACACAGAGACACAGGCATACATACACACAGAGGCATAGGCATACATACACAGGATACATACATACAGACACAGAGGCATACATGCACACAGACACAGGCATACATACACACAGACACAGGGACACAAGGACACAGGTACACACGCTCACTCATACAAATAGTTTTCATGTATGATTTGTGTGTGTTTGAATATTCTATATATTTTCAAAGAATTTCTAAACAGTTAGATCATTGTGTTTGCTGGAGATGAAGTGCCTTATAGATGGTGTAAAATGCAATAGACATAGGTACGTAAATGCGAAAATTACGTACACACACGTCAAAAACACACACGCATACACATGTGAACGCAGCCAACCGCTCAGCCACCTGGGCGGTCTGACCAGCCTTTGTGTGCGAAGCAGTTTGGGAATTGGCGGCCTCAATATGGCTCAGGCGGCCGGCAGATGGATCGGAAAAGGGACGCGGAGAAGACACCGCTTTATGTCTTCCTCCGTCAAAGGGACGAGGCATATGCCGAGGGAGATCTGGGTCGCGAGAGGGTTTTATGCCTCGGGAGAGATGGACTCCAAATGATTGATATTTTGGGCAGGGGAAAAAATACGCGGGGCTTTGAGGGGATGGTGTTTTTTAGTTGTTTTTGTGTGTAGCTATGTTTGTGTTCGTTTGCGTTTGCGTTTGGGTTGTGTGTGTGTGTGTTGTGTTTGTGTTGTGTGTGTTGTGTGTGTGTGTGTGTGTGTGTGTGTGTGTGGTGTGTGTGTGTGTGTGTGTGTGTGTGTGTGTGTGTGTGTGTGTGTGTGTGTGTGTGTGTGTGTGTGTGTGTGTGTGCATACACGTCCTTCTGTGACCATATATATCTGCCTCTACATGTGTATCTACATCCGTGTATACAAGCGTACCCAAGCACGCGCATCCGAAACCACCCCCCCAACAGCACCCGAAGAGCCCCCCCCCCCCCCCCCCTTTGGCACACCCGCCCGAGGGCAGAAGACCAGAACCCTTACCCTTGTCGACGAAGAGATTGGCCATGAACTGGGCCGCTTCGATGGCGTCCCTCGTGTGCGGGATGGACGAGAAGCTCCACTCGTACAGGTTCTTCTCCGGGTGCCACTGGAAGCCGAACAGCGGGAGTTCTCGGTGCTCCACGTTCGCCACGTACTCGATGCCGTCCGAGTCGTGCGAGGTCGAGAGCATCAGGAAGTCCCCGTCGAGACCCAGTTCCCTGAAGGTCTGTCGAGGGGACGGGCGCGGTTCAGGAAAGAGGTGAGGGTGATGATGATAATAATGATGGTATTAATGATGATGATGATGATAATAATGATGGATATGATGATAATGAATGATGATGATGATGATGATAATAATGATGGTATTAATGATGATGATGATGATAATAATGATGGTATTAATGATGATGATGATGATAATAATGATGGTATTAATGATGATGATGACGGGACGAGGAGAGAAAATGGATAGAAAATCCCAGGATAATCTTGACATTAGGTAGACTAAACATTTCGAATATCGGGAAAATTTCAGCGGGAATATAAAAGAAAAAATAATACAGGCAAAGGGAAGCGACATTCAAAATACTTAAAACTCGAAATTCAGGAATAATATATGAATATATATATATATATATATATAATATATATATATATTATTATATATATATATATATATATATATATATATATATATATATATTTTTTTTTTTTTTAATATAAGGCTGTAAAAAGGATATTATGCTTGTGAAACATCAAATAATTTTTGAAAAAGTGAAAAAGAACTAAATGTCCAAAAATATGATAAAAAACCTAAATTCGACATGAAAATAGAAATCTAAAAAATAATAAAAGAATATTAACAATAATGGGAAAGATGATGATTATGGTGATGATGACGATAACAATAACAATAACAGAAACAATAACAACAACGACAACAATAATAGAAATGATTATCATTATCAATTATAATTATGATTACCATTACCATTTTAACAAATATGATAATGACAATAAAATAAATACGTAACATAAACAAGCTTAGCCCCTCTAGAACCTCACTTTCAAAACACAAATCATCCCAAAAGACACAAACAAAAAAAGAAAACAAACATCCTTCGCCAGCGCCATCTGTCGAGAGGAAGATAAAGCGACATCACCGACGGAGGCAAATTACAATTACTCTCCCTCATCACCACAGGCTTTTTGGTCGGCAGTATCAACAGCAATAATGAAATTTCAGTCTCATTATTTCGCTGGCAATTAAGTGCTGCTCATTTTTATGCCCTTTCCGAAAATGATAGGATGTCAGTGTTTGTTTTTATCGTTGTTGTCTCTGAGGGTGATCCATTAAAAATTATTGCAATGGTGATTATGGTGATGATGATACTGATGATAACAACAACGATAACAAAGTTCTTGCAATGGTGGTTATGGCAATGGTGATGATAACGATGATAACAATAATAACAACAACAATAACAAAATTCTTTCAATGGCGGTTATGATAATGATGATGATACTGATAAAAACAACGATAACAAAATTCTTGCAATGGTGATTATGGTAATGATGACAACAAAACAATACAATAAGTAACAACAACAATGATAATGCCGCTGACAAAAGGGCGTAAACAATATAATAAAGAGAGTAAAAGAATAAACACAAAGAAATTATAAAATAATGATAATCATAGATATGTATAATGGTAATTCTTGTCAATGTATCAGTCAGAACCAACCTAAATTACCGGACATGATTTCACATGACAAACAAAAAGAAAAAGAAAAAAGAAATGTACTTGTTTTATAATTTTCATTTTACGATTTTTTTTTGTACTGAAACTTGATTGTCGTGTCGTGATTGCATTGGAGCAGGCTATATTGTTTTCATTATTGCATATCTAGTTTTTCTTGGTGAGAGCGAGAGCGAAGAGAGAGAGAGAGAGAGAGAGAGAGAGAGGAGAGAGAGAGAGGGAGAGAGAGAGAGAGAGAGAGAGAGAGAGAGAGGAGATGAAAAGAGAGAGAGAGGAGAGAGGAGAGGGAGAGGGGGAGGGGAGGGGGAAGGGAGAGGGAGAGGGGAGAGAGGGAGAGGGGAAGGAGAGAAGAGGGAGGGGAGGGGGAGAGAGGAGGGAGAGGGAGAGGGAGAGAGAGAGAGAGAGAGAGAGAGAGAGAGAGAGAGAGAGAGAGAGGAGAGAGAGAGAGAGAGGAGAGAGAGAGAGAGAGAGAGAGAGAAAGGGAGAAGGGGGGGGTAGAGGGAGAGAGAGGGGGGGAGAGAGGTAGAGAAAGAGAGAGAGGGAGAAGAGAGAGAGAGAAGAGAGAGAGAGAGAGAGAGAAGAGAGAGAGAGAGAGAGAGAGAGAGAGAGAGAGAGAGAGAGAGAGAGAGAGAGAGAGAGAGAGGGGGGGGGAAGTGAGAAAGAAGATAGATAGAGATAGATAGATAGATAGATAGATAGAGAGAGAGAAAGTGCACATTTAACATCACATGTATCATTGCCGTCAATAATGAGACAATTAAAATGAAAATCGCTCCCTTTCTTTGGTGATTACAACAAACAGCAACATCTACAACCGACGAGAACGGAAACTACAACAGAAAATACACCCCCCACCTACAACAACACCAACCAAAATACAACCCAAGATCCCACCCGAGGAGCCCACCTACAACAACAACAACAACCAAAATACAACCACCCCGAGGAGCCACAACCTCTCGCTCGGCACACCCATCCCCTTACCTCGGGCGTGACGCAAAACTTGTGGAAGTTGCTGGTGGCGTTCGTGGTGGTGAGGGTCTGAAGGATATGTTCCGGTGCTTCGCCAAGGAGTTCGGACAGTTCCCAACCTGGTGACGAAGGGAGAGGTACGGTGGTTTAGTGGCAAAATTTTGTGCGTGTGCGTGTGTGCGTGTGCGTGTGCGTGTGCGTGTGCGTGTGGCGTGTGCGTGTGGTGTGTGTGTGTGTGTGTGTGTCTGTGAGTTGGAAGAAAGAAGTGAATGGGTCATTTGTGGGTGCGAATGGGTTATTTGTGGGTGTGAATGGGTCATTTGATGGATGTGAATGGGTCTTTTGAGGGTGTGAATGTGTTATTTGTGGGTGGGAATGAAGTTCTTTTGGGACAACGGATGTGAAAGGTCATTTGTAGATGTGAGTTAATAACCAACGGCGTGAATAAATGATCTATAGATATGTTTGAATAATCTGTGGATGTAAATAGATACTCTAAAACATAATAAAAAACACAGTTCATGATACACAACTAGAGTTTATGAGGATATATATATATATATATATATATATATATATATATATATATATATATATATATATATTATGGAATTCATTTTTATTCTCGAAATGTTGTTGCAGTCTCGTAGTGTTTATCGTTAATGAGTGTTTAAAATTGCTTTGATATATCTATTGCAGATAAACAAATGTAGTTGTTATAAAATTGTAATCATATATAAGTACACACACACACACACACACACACACACACACACACACGAATTCTCTACAATAACACCAATCGTTATACGTGAAAAAAATATCCACCCGATGAAAAATATACAGCAGAATTTTACACTGAAACGAACAGAAAGCTAAAAAACAAAAACAAAAAAGAAATCATCCTAAAACCAAACTAGTGATTGCTTAATAACAAACAAACAAAAAGAGTAAAAACAAGATACCAGTGATTGCTTAATAAAACAAATTGATTATAAAAGATTATGACTAAAAATATATACTAAAAATCTATTATTGAAATTAGATTGGTAATTCGGTAAATTTTCGAAACACGAGGCCGCTTGTCATTCAGCTATGCTCAGTGTTGCCATCGGTATTTCCGCAAAAGCGCTAGATTTAAGCGTAAATGGTCTTCATTTTCCGCTAAA